AATGGGGGTGTGTGTGTGTGTATGTGTGTGCGCGCGCTCTCACTGTTTCAAGCGATGATCCTCCAACTTAATGCCTCTCAGGCCCACATGGAAAGGTTGAAAGACCACCCAGGTACCATCCCTGTCCCTTGAGAGTCTGGGGCGAGGGCGTCTTTGTGACCTTTGGTCTGGTGGCCAGTCATCCTCGGGCACTGCTGCCCCAAGAGAATGGATCAGGCTGGGAGTTGGGGTCCGCGGGCCCACCTGTTGGGGCGTGATAAATGGGCTGTTCAGTGCCGGTGAGCATCCATGGAACCATGTGGGGCACACCCTCTCATGTTGCATGTGTGACCTTGGGCGCCGATTTCCCATGTGCAGCCCTGTTCTCCCTTTGTGGCCACATGCTTTGTGTCCTCTGAAACCAACAGGACTCCACCCTGTGAACAGGAGAGGAGCGTGTCCCGGAGACATGAATAGGGTTACATTGAGGCAAGACTTGAATGCCACCTGGAGAACCTGATCAAATTCCCCTTCAGGTCCTTCTTTTTGTTCCCCGAAAGGCTCCTCCAGATGCTGGCTTCGTCACCTGTGTTCGTCTGCTTGGGCTGCCACAACGAAGTCCCGCAGGCTGGGGGCTTAGACATTCATTTCCTCACAGTTCCAGAAGCTGGCGGCCGGGAGCCTGAGGTCAGGGCCGGTTCTTCCTGGAGCCTCTCTCCTTGGTGGATAGATGGCCGTCTCCTCCCTGTGTCTTTACATGGGCTTCCTGCTCTAATGGGTCTGTGTCAGGGTTTTCTCTTCTGGTAAAGACACCATATGACCTCGTTTTACCTTCATTCCCTCATTCAAGGCTCTGTCTTTAAATATAGTCACATTCTGGGGTCCTGGGGATTAGAAACTGCCATATGGTGGGTTTGGTTCCGGACCACCCCAATAAAGCAAGTATCACAATAAAGCGCAGCATACTATTTTTCTTTTGTTTCCTAATGCAAGTAAAAGTTATGTTTATGCTATACTGTAGTCTGTTAAGTGTGCAATAGCATTATGTCTTAAAAATGTAATCTATTAAGTGTATAATAACTAGCATTATGTCTAAAAAAACCCCTACCCGACCCTACCTTAATCAAAAATACTCCGTTGATAAGAAATGCCGACCATCATCAGCTCCTTCTGTGAATCCCAATCATTTTGCTGGGGTAGGGTCTTGCCTCCACATTGGTCAAAACTCAGTATCTGTGAAGTGCAATAAAGCAAGATGTGCCCATGTAGGAATTTGGGGGATACAAGTTGGCCCTTGATGTCACTCATTCTCTCTTCCGTCTCCTTTATAACCCCCTGATTTGTCCCGAACAATCGGACACTCTACTCAGCAAAGCCTTAGCCCAGCTTCGGTACCTCCACTCTTGTCCCCACCCCTGGAAACCCCGGCGATTGTTCACTACTTCTCACACCTCAAGCCGTTGCAAATGGGCACGTGCATCTGGGTTATGAGAAAGTTCACGTTTGCACCCGAGCCAGACGAGCGGAGCACAGGGTGGTCCTCTGTGTCCCGTCCACTTGTCCCTTCTGCCGGAGCGCAGCCTGCAGAACCCCATGTGGGGGCCTGTGTTGTGCTGGAGGTCCCATTCTCCACCCCCAGGGCCCCAACCAGACAGGTGTCCCTGGGGAGGGCGTGGCTCTGCTCCCACGTGGAAATCGAGCCCTGCTCCTCTTCCTTTTGGACGTCTGCACCCCCCTTTCCTTCCTCCGTTTCCATTCACCTGGGGAACCCTGAAGGCACCCTGCCTGGGCCTCCCAAGTATGAACTTGGAGGCCGGGAGGGGAGGGGGTAAATAGATAAGGAGGACGCTGTCAGTAGGTGCTGACCGGCAGACCCTTCCTTAGTTTGCAAATGATTCATGTGGTCAGGATACCTGAGTATATATAGATATGTATAAATATATGTAGCCCGTTTCCGTCGCTCTGTGAAATGTGAGTTATTATAACAAATGTACCAATCTTCCCATCGGAAGGGGCCTTGCTACAGACAATTTCCTGTGTAAAGTGGATGTAAATTAAGAAGCTCAGCTCCCACGAGCTGTAGAGACTGGTGTTTCTTGCTGCTTCAGGCTTGTGTTCACTCACGTCCAAGCAGCACATACAAGGGCTCCCGGCCTCGGCCTCTGCAGGCAACCCGTGGGCCCTAGAGCCCATCTGGGGACGTGTGGGCTTTCTGTCACTCACTGAGGTGGCCCTGAGGAATGTGGTTGTCCTGGAGGGGACGGCGACTGGAGGACAGAAGGTCGGGGGAGGAGGTCATAGTGAGTGGAGCTGAGTCAGGCCGAGACGAGGACTAACCGAAGTCGGGGTGTGGCGCCTGGCTCTGTACAGGGCGCAGGGGGTGTGAGGGGAGACGGTGCCAGCAGACCCTTGCCAGGCACATTAGCTCCCACCCCAGGACCGGCCAGGCAGTAAGACCCCCCTGTTCCTCGAGTCTCCCATTCTGCCACCTCCACTCTCAAAGCACTTTTCTCAAGTGCCCGCCCTCTTGAGAAGCTGTCGACTGCTCAGTGTCCCGGGAGCGAAGCCGGATCCCCGGCAATAACCACCCTGGGGGAAGTTGGAAGTTTCAAACCAAGTGCCCTCCCTGTGGGGTGTGTTTATCTCTCCTGGCTCCATCCTGAAACATACTCTCCTGCTAGAACGCCCTCAACAAAGAACGGTGCTCATGGCCTCTTCTTTGATGGTGATCAGAAGGGCTCCCGCTGTCTCTTTCCCACACTTTCATTCTTCAGTATGAAGCTCATCCACCCTGTTCTGGGGACTGGGGAGCAGGGCCGGGACCAGGGCGGCACAACCCTGGCACACGGGGCACGCTGGGAAGCAGGTGCCGACTCTCACATTTGAGCAGCAGCGCCAGCTTTTGCATGAACCTTGTTTTGCATATGCTCTGTACTCACCATTTCCTATCCTGCTCCAAACTCAAGGGAGTAGCTTCTGTGCGTCCAACTCGTCAGCTTGAAGAGTAGGCGACGCAAATATTCACAGGTCCCTCTAGGGCATTTCTATGTCAAGGTGGCTGCAAGGCAGATGTCTTGGGACTCCGCTGGGAGCAGTGATAGTAAGTCATTCCCTGGCAGCGAGGAAGGAGAGTAAGGTCAGAGCCTGGAGAGAATGGGAATTGCCACGATTGCTGGGGTGGAGAGGTGGTGGTGGGGGGGGGCGCCGGCAACAGAAAGCCTGGCACAGGGAGGCGTGGAGGTGGGGTGAAAACTCCATGGGGTGTGAAGTGAGAGAAGGGGGAGGTCAGGGTGCGGCCGCCCCCTGGCCATATGGAAGCCGGTGGAGGACATCCAGAGACGGGCTGTGTGTAGCACTGAGTCCACACGTAGCTGTGGACTGAGTCTCTCCATGGCAGGGTGGTGGCTGAGGCCCTATGAGGCATCTGAGGATTGTAACAACTACCCTGTTTCTCATTTATTTACCTACATGAGATATTTGGTAGCCATCATGTGGCTGTGCCTGTACCTCTAGCTGCCCTTGGCACCTCGCCCTTTGGGGTGTTTGCATGACACAGCATCGTTGTTCTTGTGCTGAGGCTCTGCTGGAATCTGGGACCAGCTGAAGTTGGCAAGTTGCGGGGGTCACCTGACCAACGATGGGCTGAGATGGGCAGCAACGTGCACCTCAGTTCTGTGCAGCGGCCACATTCCCCAGTCTGTGGCACCTGCTTTGTGAAAGTCAAGGTTCCACCTGGATGCTGCTACGATTCTTCAGGGTCTCACAATCCCAGGGCTGGGCATGGAGACTAAACCTCTTCATAGAGACACTGGGCGGGATGAGGCTCTCAGGCCTTCCACAGGCTCCAGAGTCAAAGCGGAGTCTTCTCAATGCCGGTGAAGTTATGAGCCACAGACAAAGCGAGGGGTGCTCCTCTCCTCTCTTGTCACAGTGAGACTCTCCAAGGCCACGTGCCGGTCCTGCCCATGCCCTCCCACCAGGGGTGAAGGGAGTGCCCGGGGCATGAGCAGGCTGGAGGGTTTGGGGGTGGGGGGAAGGAGTGGAACTGTGCAACTCTACCGACTGAGGTTTGTGCTGCAAAGGGCAGGGGACGCTGCAGGCACCCAGGAAACAGGGATGAGACAGCGCACACAGTAGTGCTTCAGCACTGCTTTCCCTTCGAAAAACAACCTTTCTAATAGCAAGACATGGAAGCACCCCAAGTGCCCATCAATAGCCTAGTGGATAAAGAAGATGTGGTACATGTATACAATGCAATATTACTTGGCCCTAAAGAAGAATGAAGTCTTACCATTTGTGACAGTATGGAGGGACCTCGAGGGTATTGTGCTAAGTGAAGTAAGTCAGACAGAGAAAGACAAATTCCATATGATTTCACTCATATGTGGAATCTAAAGAACAAAATGAATGAATAAAGGAAGCGGAAACAGACTCATAGATACAGAGAACCGACTGATGGCTGCCAGATAGGAGAGGGAGTCGGGGGCTGAGGGAAGAGGGCGAAGGGATTGGAAGCAGGCGTTGGTAGTTATAAGACAGCCATGCGGTTGTGAAGCAGAGCACAGGGAATAGAGCTGAGGCTCCTGTTGAACTGTGGGTCTTGCCAGGTGGGCACTGGAGCTATTGGGGGATCACTTTGTAAATTATGTAAAAGTCTAACCATTGTGCTGTATCCCTGAAAACTAATATTGTATTGAATGTCAACTGTAATTGAAAAGTAAAATAAAAAAAGAAAAACAAACCTCCTTTTCACTGACATTGACAAGTGTGTTTTCATGTGTTGAAATCCTGCTCCCCTGGAATGAACAGTGAGAAACCTGTAATATATCTCTGTGCTTCTGACTTTGACTTTCTAATTAAAAAAACCGGTCATTTCCTTCCCTCCCTCACGGAACCCGGAGCAGCGACTTGATGTGTGTTCCATCTTTGCTCCACTAGGTGGCTCTTGGTGCTCTCAGATATCTGCCAGGCCTTCAGACAGGTGAATGTATCTCATTGGCTCACGAGAGGCATGATGCCACCGGGCAGCCCTTTTTAAGAGAAAAGCCAGGACCGGTGGAATAGCAACCCCTCAGCAGTGCTCTCTGTGCTGGGCGGCAGGACCAGAGCTGCAGTTAAGGCACCATGAGCGAGGTGAGTGGTATTTCTACGGGAGGAGGGAAACCCCCGGCGGGGAGGGGGACCTCCGTTGTCTCAGAAAATGTGAAGAGGAACACACGAGCCCTGCCCCTATTGGCTTTGAGGACCAACACTATTTACAGCTTGCTTTGCCGGGCAAGTGCAGAAACTGGTTCAGTGTGCAACTTTTAAAATTTGCCTCAGAAAGCGAAAGGGATGCATCGTGTGCTTCCGATTTAATTGTGACTTTGGAAAGTGCTTTGGGTTTTAGCCCTCAGGAGAGAAAGCCGACTGTTGGAGTGTTTCACAAAGATCTGTGCTACTTCCCCTGTGTGTCTGCCTAGGGGACACCTTTCAGAGGGCTAGCAGGCAGGCAATGCAGGGGAAGCCGGCTTCTTGGGAAGAGCAGTGGGGAACGGTGTCCCCGCATGGCGCGGGGACACACAGGCTGTGCACACGACGTCTGCAGTTACTCTGAGTAGCAGGGAAGGACATGCAACTCGGTTGGACTGTGAACAATCTGTGTATCTGTGTGTCCAGGTCTATGGCTCTAAGACGGGAGAGACTTGGCAGAGGAGGAGTGACAATTTTAAATTGAAAGTCACTTCTCCGAATGTGTTTATACAGAATATATTTTGTTGGGGCACACTGACAGCTCACATTATCTTTTTAAAAGATCGTATTCCCTTTCTTTCAAATGGGGCAGATTTGGATCTAATTTGACTCTGCAACCGAGACAGTCCATTTTCACTTCCTTTTGGTTGGCACTTAAATAATTACTTTTTAAGATCTTTTATCTCCTCTGTTTTTTTTCCTTTGGCAGACGGGAGATCCTTTTTTTGGAAGTCCAGAGTAAAATTAACAACTTCAGAACTAAAATGTCTCCTCACTGCTTTTATCTCTATGATGGGTGACTTTTGATATAAACATGACAGAGAGAAACAGCAGGCAAAGCCCGATAAAATTTAGGAATGGGGTTTGGGAAGGAGCCAAAGGCTTGAGCGGGGGGCTGGGGGCGGAGGGCAAGCCTTGTGGGGGAGGTGGAAAGGCTGACACCCTTCCAACAACCACAGTTGCGTCCCCAACAGCAGCTCCACGGGTCCCGCGGTCTCACCTACCGTATTCAAGCCTCCCCACAACTCCGTGCGGTGGGTGCTTGTATTATTCTCACTTGACAGATGAGGAAACTGAGGCACGGAATTCAAGGTCAACTGGTTCAAAGCCACCAGGGGGTGGCAGAGCCAGGACTTGGGCTGCAATGCTGGGCAGCTGACTGCCAGGTGGATATTGATGTCCAAGTGCACAAGGAATTCTCTGCACAGCAGGTGCCGGAAAGGAGGAGGAGGAGCAGGGGCGGGTGGGAGCCGAGGAGAAGGCGGCGGGGGCCCCGAAGTGCGCACAGGGGAATGAGTTCCAGGCCTCCACTTCCCGCGCGCCTGGGTCGGGGGCTTCCTGCTGGGTCCTGGAGATTCCAGGACCTCGTCTATTTGTGTGAGGAGCTCACCTTGCTTGCAACGAGAAGGGACGGCTGTGTGCGGCAGGTTTTTATACACGACCTGTTAGTTTCACATGGCAGAAGGACTTGGCGTCCCGCACAGCCCTGGGGCCCCCTCGCTTTGATCAAGTCAGCTGCCAGGGGTTCCCCCGGAGCGGGGCCGCCGCCAGCGCTCCTCCTCGCCGGCTCAGCCGCCCCTCTCCCGCCGGGCCCCTCCCTGCCCAGCCTTGTGCCACAGTTCCGAGGTGCTCCCTTAATAGCGGGTCACCCTGGGACTTCAGCCAGTGTCCCAGACTCCCATGGCCAGGGTCACAAGCTTGTTTCTGTTGGACATGGAATTAGGGCAGCCCGGCCCCGGCATTCCACCAGACGAGCGGCAGGCAGGTGTAAGAATTCTCTGCCTTTGCCCTGCGAATCTTCAAAAAATCCCACAGGACGCTCGGTCTCCCCCTCAGCCGCCCACCAGCCCCTCCTGCAGCCGCCTCCCCCTCGCAGCACGTGCAGCCCCACCCTCCGGCCGCCTTCGGAGTGACCAGCTCTCTGGCTGATCTCCCAGTTTCGGGGAGTGTGCTCCTTGGAGAGTGAGAATTTGTCCTTTGACTAAAACTTAATCTGTTTAAAACATTTAATAAAGTTGAACAGAAGCTCCTTTCTGGCAAGAGAGTGAGAACCCTCCCCCTCTTCTCTCAAGTTTTTCTTCAGTTGGACGAATAACACGCGGCTTCTGGTTTTACGAAGTCAGGCAGGGATGGGTTTCAGATGATCTTTGTTGACTCGTGGACCTCATTACTGCACGGGCCAGAGCAAAGGATTTCGTCAGACGTCCCCTGACCTCAGGACGTATTTGAGTCTGGTGGGCGAGTAGTTCCTGCCCCACTGCCCGTCCTCAGCACCCGGGGCAGAATCCCCGAGCTCACAGCTGCCCGCTTGGGCCAGCGCATGAGCCCGGCTGGGTGGACGGGCCCTCCGAGGGCCACATGCCCCCGGGGGTGGGCGCCCCTCCTCCAGGCCCTCCAGCCTTGCCGGGGACGGAGGGTGGGGGAAACTGAGCCTGGAGCTGGCGGCTCCCTGGGTGGTTTTACAACACAATATCTTCTTTGTCCCCTGTGACAATGCTCTTTTAGGGGGAATGACATGTGATTGAAAAGAGCAGCTCAAGCATGGCAAGGAAAGTCAAGTCCAAATTTAGGGCAGTGCGAGAGCGCGGAGGCGGTCTGTGGGGGTGTCTAATTTACATTCCGGTGTTAAAGTACGTCAGACGTGCGGGGAGCAACCTGGGAGATAAGTTGGGAGATAATTTAGCAGGGATCAGAATGCAGGCCTCTGTGTATTAGCCCGGTCGGACACCCTGGCCAAGTGGAAGTGTACACAGCGTGTCCAATCTGCTCCCGCTGGACCCCCAGGCGCAGGAAGGGCAGAAAGGTCCCCTTTGTTTAGCCACCTGACATGATTTGGGCGGGGGGGGGGGGGGGGGGGAAAGAGTCCCATGGACAACAACAATCAGACTCATTTTCTTAGCCAGGTGTGTGGTTTTAGGTTGCTTTGCAAAAGAAGTTATTTAGAAGAGCCAGCAGCAAAATTTTAAGGCACAAAGGGAAACAGTTGGAGAGTTGATTTAACAATGTTGCACCACCACCGCCCTGTGAGTGAGGGGGTGGGGCTGGGGGAGCTCCCCGTTGCCCCACGTCAGCTGACAGCTATTAATTAGAGTGGGGACCCCTTTGGGACAGCATCCTTGCCAGCCTTGGGTTTGGCCGTCGCGGGCGCCTTTCCTCCATCGGCTTGGACGGGATGTTGCGACTCCGTGCCAGGGTTATGGCCGTTTCTTCCATCCAGACTTTGGCCACAAGAACAGGACTGTCTGTCAGAGGCGTGGCTTGATCACACCAAGGACATTTAAGGGCAAATCTTCAGACCCACATGTCTGTCCTCAGCACAGAACCAGAATCCACTGCCTTATATATCAAGTCTCTAAAGAAAGAAGAAAGCAGCGATACCGTGCTGGACAGAGATGGCAAAGGGAGGCTGCTCCCACTTAAATCCTGGGGAGGGAGCATAAAAAAGATACAATTTTTCCTTTGTCAAAAGCAGCCATGGGCCACAAAATATCATGTGACACTGGAGTGGGGCTTAGCTGGTGTAGCCGTCAGGGCACCACGCTGGTGAGACACTTAGTGAGATGAAACTGAGCTAAAGGGAGGAGGGTTCTGGTTTTAGCCCGGCGATGTGACGGTGAACTAAACACCTGCGAAGGGACGGGTGGTTAGGTTTGCAGGGAACCGTGCAATTCAGAGCAGTTAGGCCCAGATTCCGAGGGTGACCACGTAACACGTGGGCTTTGCAGCTAGCCCCCAAGGCCTCGTGGCAGAGGGTCAAATGACGATGCAATTTCTCGCGCAGCTTTGGCCTCGTCTGGGCGTGTAATGCAGTGAAGGTGTGGGAAGATCCAGCAAGGCCCACATGGTTTTGCTGAATCACAGTGATAGACTCCCTGCTCTAACTGGAGACAGCAGGTCTAGAAAAACACCGATTACTGCTTGGCTTCGAAGTTCGGCTTTTTCTACCTGGGAAGAGGCCACAGTCAAGCCTGCAACTGTGTCTGCGGGGCTGATGAATGCGGGGTAGGGGGGTGGGAGGGGGCTGCCCCCCAATTCGTTCCCTGGTCCTGCGTGTCACTAAGGAATGCGGCGGCGCTAAGAGCTCTCACTGTTTTTCTCTTTTGAATTCTAAGAACGACAGAGTACGAGATGTATTATTATTATTATTATTTTTCAGATAGAAAGGTTGAATAAATGAGTCACAATTGATTTTATTAAAGGCTTGGGGGAATAGTGTGATCAAGATGACAAGGGCTTTTGTGGTGGAAGGTGCCTTGAATTTATGATGAGCCCTTTCTCTGTGTTATTTTTTAAAATTCTGATTTCTGCTCTTGTGCTTTATTAGCGGCGCCCTCTTAGGTGGGCGGTGTTTGCAAGTTGTCTGCGGCCCCGCTCTCCTCCACCGGGCACGCTGTCCTCTTGGAACACAGGAATGCTGTCGTGAGCCCAAGCCGGGGGCTTTTCGTTAATTTAGAACAACTCTGGAAAGGGCTCCCTGCTGGGTGCAAAGAAGGCTTCTTGGGGATGCATGGGCACAGGTTTATATTAAGTTGGAGTGATATTTTAATAAAACACAGCATTAAAGACCATGCTGTAAAAGGGTTGCCTTACTCTCTTCGGGCTGCTAGAGCAAAATACCATAGCTGGGTGATCTGTAAACCGCAGAAATTTATTGCTCGCAGTCCGGAAGCTGGAAGTCCAAGACCAGGGTGGAGCATGGTCAGGCGCGGGCTCACTTCTGGGGCACAGACCTCTCGCTGTGTCTTCCCCTGGAGGGAAGGGGCGAGGGGGCTCCTGGGGTCTCCTTCATCAGGACACGGATCCTGTTCCTGGGGGACCCCACTGTCACCTCCTACTCAGCTGCCAAAGGCCGCACCTCCTAATGCCCTTACCTCTGGGTGTCAGGGTTTCAGCATAGCAAT